ATATAGTGGCCCTCCTAGTCACACACAACACCCCAAACATCATAAGAATAATCGCATATCCTAAACAAATGTACCTGCAGACGTGTAAGCGTATAATCGTTCATACGCATTCACTAACCTTCTTGAACATCTCAGGTTCAACTGGCTGCTCTGCGGGCGTTTCGGTTGATTGTGATTCTGTGGTGTTGTCTTCGGTGGATTTCAGTGTGTCGGAATGGTCCGCTGTCTGAGTGGGATGTGAATATTATTATATGTGAAAATGGACATGGATGTATGTATATAGATCTCTATGTGTATATGGATCTATATGTTTATATAAATCTATATAGGTATATAGATGTATATGTATTATGGCAAAAGAATACGATCCGAACAAATGTACGTGGATGTATGTATATATACATTTACATATGTTTAAGAACAAAATGTTACTATATGCACATCTATACATAAATGTATGTATAAGCATACATATCACTTATATTCACACCTGTGCATGGATGTATGTATAAGCATACATATCACTTATATTCGCACCTGTACATGTATGTATGTATGTACACAGATATCACTTGTAACCTCAGGCACGTACCGCTTCACTAACCTTCCTTACTGTGGCTCGCATACGATTTCTGAGTGAGTTGGACATCGACGTTGCAAGTTCATTGGCATTCGACACACTACTTTCATTTGCAGAATGCGTTGCCATGATTACGGCCTGTCCAGTGTCTGATTCCACAGTTGTGTCCGTCCGACCACTGTCGATTTGTGATTGACTATCCTTTGACTTCAAGCGGGCTAGTGCCTTCTGTCGCCATGACAACGCGGGTCCTGCAAAAACCAATGAGTTGAAGACACGCGTACAGCCAATCAGAATGTAGTACGTAGACAACAGCCAATCCGATTGCAGTATAAAAATAGAATACGACAAGAAAGGTCCCAGCGACACAGTTAGGTAGGTAGACCTCGTTGAATCAACAATGCTCTGGAGCAATAGCAGGCTGTCTAACTCGAAAATGTGGAATGCAACACAACAGAAAAACGTTACATACGCGAACAATTATCAGAGTTATCTGTGGACGGAGCCAAAAGCGCAACCAATCAGAACAAGTGTGGCATATCAGCCAATCAAATCTTCCTTTTTTTGTCTCTATAGACATCAGTGTTTAGTATGTGTATGTGTAAACAGGCGACACAGCGGATATCTCCAGCACAGGTCCACCAGCCGATGGGAAGTGACTGTGGCTGTGTTAAAAGTACTTCAGAACACATATATATAGACATACATACATACATACGTACATGCACACACACAAACACACACACACACACACATACGTGTACACACACACACTCTCTCTCCCTCACACACACACACACATCCTGAAAATATCACATAAACAATCCCGACAACTACACCACAACTGCCCTCCGCCGGCGTACCTTTGGTGGCGTGTGTGTGCTTGTGTCTGTCTGCCTCCATGCTACGCATCATCGCCTCGCGTTTGGTGGCTGTCGCCTGTGCTGCTTCTGGCATGCCTGTGCCGTTCGCTTTCCAAAATTTGTTCAGCTCACGCGCGTGTCCTCCGGGTTTGTCAAACATGGCTTCCTTCTGCGTGTTGGTATCTGTGGGTGTTATATTAATAGAATTCTATTAATAGAATGTTATCTGCGGGTATTATATGAATAGAACTCTAATAGAATGCTATCTGCGGGAGCTATATTAAACTATTTATATTTATAGAATGTTATCTGCGGGTGTTATATTAATAGAATTCTATTAATAGAATATTATCTGCGGGTGTTATATTAATAGAATGTTATCTGCGGGGTGTTATATTAATATAATTGTATTGATAGAATGGTATCTGCGGGAGTTGTGTGGGTGTTGTAGCAATTATGAAAATGCATATACCTCCATACAACACATACATACTCGTACATACACAGAAACAACTGCCACACCATAATGAGCACAGGCCTACCTTCGCGCACAGTATCCGTAGCCGTCGTGTGTGGTTCATCCACTGCAGTCGCCTGTGCCACAGTGCGTGGTGGTTGTCTGAGCATCCACGACTCTCGCTGGACCGGACCACTCTTATCTGTGTGTGTGAGCGACAGCAACAAGCAAAGCGTGAATGTCACAAACAAG